CTTAACAGTTCGGGATGAGCTTTTATCCAGTGGCAGAAATCCATACGCTGAGCATGGTCGCCTGGTTCCAGATGTTGTACCCTTTGATCATGATAAGGATACAGGTCTTCATCATGTAAGGTTCGCCACACCTGCATACGTGATACGCCGATGCGAGAGGCCATTCTACGTGTGGACAGACGCGGACTTCTATCAATCATGCCAAGAATGTTCTCTCGTGTGTTTCTCATTTGTACATTCTCCCTTTCCGACTGCACAGAAGCACTCAAGAGAACCAGTCTCACGCAATGTCTGGTGAATTCGCGTAAATACACGTCGAGATGGAATCCTTCGATCGGGAAAACGCCTTTGGTACTCTTCAACAGCAGCACGTGCATTGCCACCGCAAAATCCATACACAAAATGCATATCACAATACTCAACGTGTGAAAACACAAAAGGCATTTCAGCAACACCGCACAAGTACACGTAATTACTAACCATTCACGACGCTGACGCAAGATACACTGTAATCCTCTGTGAGTAGAGCATGAGATTACGGCTAGCGTGACATCACCACACTCAAGGACAAACAGATAAGGGTCTCAGCTGATAGCTATAATGCGTGGACCTGCCAGAAGACCACACTTTTCTCGGGCAATTATCTCCGTAACCGTTCAACTTTGGACATAGGTGTTTTGGGTTATATCGGCATACTTTAACATAAGGAACACCCTCCCGAAGTTTGGTCCATTCCTCCTGGGACACTCTGTATATAATAAACTGTTATTGGAGGCTCGTGATGTAGATGTAGTAACATTAATGCTAATCTGAAAATGATATGAAAGTAATAGTATTAAATTTGTTATAATCAACAATATAATGATTTTGGTATTGAAGATATAGATATATATAGTTGTGTCGTGACAGTTTTAATAAAGAAGTTTCATACTGTAACACAACAGGATGCATGAAATAAAAAAAATAAATAAAAAGGTGTAATATTTCTTAACCCATTAAATTACAGTGGTTACTGTGTGCACCACCTGCTTTCACCAGTCAAGTGGTTATAATGTCTATAGATCTCATGCATGCTTCTAACTACTCCGTTGTAGGTATAATGCCAGTCAGCAATGGAAACTTGTGTGTCATGCATGCAAAATGTTCTGGCTACTTCAGAGTGTGACAGGAAGTTGCTGGTTGTTGACGGCTGTCCTGGGCTTCAGTTCTTTTGGCTGAACATTGTGTCAGGTCCTAGCATGAAGATACATGTAAGTGATGAGCTGTTTCATGAACTGTTACAAGAGAATTAGTACAGTGGTGTTTCAGAGAGTGAATGTAGTAGTGATTAGTTAGTTAGTTATTGGAGAGGGTGGGTTTCCCCATGCACTTAGACCAGTATTGGACCATTGTGCTTCCCTCTATGATATTCTACCAGTCTCTATACCCTACCGATACTGGTGCTTAGCATCAGTCCCGACCAAGCCAGCGAGTTCAGCCTCTACTGGCTTAGCGGTATCTATAATGCTTCCCCCATCTCTCAGAGGCGTTAGAGACTACTGTTGGGCGGGAAATGTCCTTGAATTTGGCTCAGTGACCTCCTTAGGAGATATGAGTTCTTTTACATGCCGTAAAGCTACAACACGTGACCCACGGCTTAAAGTTCCTCCCGGAGGACTTGTTCCCTGAATTTTTCCGCCCTTAAAAATTCGATGACCTCCGCCGGGTTTGAACCCACATACTACGAGTCATGAGGTGGGAACGTTACCTCTAGACTACGGAGGCCGCTAATGTAGTAGTGACAGTAAAATAAATGTGAAAATTTTATCAGGTAGTCAACAAAGTGTCAGCTCTGATGAAGCACAAAATGTGAGCAATGACAGTAGCATGCAACCTGACGTATGGGCAAATTCAGCTGCTGAGCGACCACATTTTCCATTTACTGGCAAGCCTGGCGTGGATTTTGATTTAGAAGACCCCAGTGACCCTACTGGAATATTTTGAGTTGTTTTGTATGATGCTGTCTCTGTAAGATCCACTGTAATATTATCATCACATCTATGCTTTTGCGTTCCTAGTTGTATCTCTCTTTCAGGTTTTTCTCACCAAAATTTTATATCAACTTCTGGTTTTTCTCATGCATGCTACATGCCTTACTCATTCTCCTTGTTTTGATAATTATGGAGGTGTCTGTCAAGAAGTCCAAATTATGAAACTCCTCACTGTGCGCTTTTCTCCAGCCTCCTGCCACTAACCCCCTTTTGGGTCCAAATATTCTCCTCAGCAACCTCTTCTCAAGGGGGCACACGGTAGCGTAATTGGTTGAGGTGCTATGCTACAAGCTGGAAGATCACAGGATCGAATCCCGATGAGGTGGATTTCTTCAATTTACCTAATCCTTCCAGCCGCACTATGGCCCTGGAGTCGACTCAGCCTCTGACAGAAATGAGTACCAGGAATATTCTTGGAGGTAAAGGGAGGCTGGTGCGTAAGGCTGACAACCTAACCGCCATCTTTGAGCCGATTGTCTAGAAAACGTGGGAACCTCAACATCTCACAACCCTATGGGCCTCCATGGCCCGTTACAGGGATACCTTTACTTACTGTACCCTCACCTCAAACACCCTTGATCTATGTTCTTCCCTTAATGTGATATCCCAGTTTCATACCCATAAAAAACTACAGACAGAATTATAGTTCAGCATATATATGAAGCAAAGAATTCCTTGAACAGAATTTGGTACATGTGGTTACCTGAGTCTTTTGCCAGCTTGCTTAGAGCCATAGATGTCGCAGCGGTGGAGGGGCATTGGCAGTGCCTCCCCCGTGCCAACACGGCCAAGCACTGCTGCCTCACACATGCCCTTAAACATTTGCACCTGTAAAATGTCACTCAGGAAATACCTGAAACAAGAGTGCAAACATTTTGACCTGCAGTGTGTCACACAGTTCATGTAATAAAGTGATATAAAACATAGAAGTCTATACTGTTATTGTGTTTCTGCATGTTATCCATCATCCTGTTTTTATTTAAAATACACAGCATGTTTGAGACTGGATCCTGTCTCTGTCTTCGGGTGGAACCTACTCATTTGGGCCCAGTCGATAGAGCTAGGCCCTATTTCCGGAGGTAGAGATTAACCCTGTCAATTGTTTCACCTGAGTATGTTTCATCTGAAGATGGAGACAGGGTCCAGTCTCCAACATGTTGTGTATTTTAAATAAAAACAGGATGATGGATAATGTCCAGAACATACCATCGTCACAAAGTTTTATATTTCATAGAAGCCTCTGCTGTGTTTCAGAATAATCTCTTGAAATGACAGGAAATACATTGAAGTTGTTATGTTAACCGGCTTAAAAAATGCTGTGGTGTGTGGATATGTGTATGTATGAACTGCTCTTCATGATTTTGGCTAAATGAAACAAATACGTAGCCCTAAATATCTGGCTATGTATTTGATTTGGCATAGTGCTGAAGCTTTAAACTTATATTTGATAAGTGCTTGGTTTGAATCGGAGGGCACGTGGTAGCGTAGTTGGTTGAGGCACTATGCTACAAGCCGGAAGGTCATGGGTTCAAGTCCTGATGAGGTCATTGGATTGTTTTCAATTGACCTAATCCTTCCAGCCAGACTGTGGCCCTGGGGTCGACTCAGCCTCTATCAGAAATTAGTACCAGGAATTAATTAAATAATTTTCCTGGGGAGTAAAGTGTGGCCAGCGTGTAAGGCTGACGACCTTACCGCCATTCTTAAGCCGAATGTCTAGATAATGTGGGACCCTCAACGTCTCACAACCTTATGGGCCTTCATGGCCTGTTACAGGGATACCTTTACTTTTTCTTTACTTTTTGATTTGAGTCTCAGGTGGACTTTGACATTCCTGGCTGAGATCCCTCCAAGCAAATGCAGGGATGGTGTCTTAATGAGGTTGTGATCACTTCCTTCCAAATCCTTTCCAATTCAGCAACCATCCTGCCATTCAACACTATATAGCATAGGAAATGAAAGCATCACAGATGCTGCACATATGTGCTCGTGCGCATATGCACACCCAGAATTCTCTTCCATATAATAGTGTTGGTTTACTGACTTCCGTATGAAATAGCAACAGTATGTCTTTCCATATTTGTTTTCTGAAATGCCTTATTCCATTTGTTCAGTAACACCATATTAACAATTATCTTCTGTTGGCAGTCTAAGGCCCTAGATATGTGAAAATTTGAATTTGCTCAGTTCTGTTCTTGTTTGCAGATATTTTTGTATCATAACAATTTGCCCTGTCAGTTAAAATCCTGAAGGGTCATAAATCGCCCTCTGTGCTTGCTACTAATGAAGGGCTATGACATAAATAGAAGTCACAATACTGTTTGGGTATATTTTGCTTGCAGCTCATTGGCTCACCTGATGTAAGGTGTGTTATCAGGAATGTGGAACTTTGCAGCTGGATCAAAGTCATCGTCCGCACGGGGTATGGGAGGCACAATTCCCTGGTAGTGTCTCTTGAGCTCCCACCAGTCTATGTTGTATTGTTCTGGCGGCGTGTCACCCCTGAACACACTCCATCGCCACTTGTCCACAAGCAGGCCAAAGGGTAGCTGGGGCAACTTGAAAAGGGCCTGTCGCAGTAGCAACACTAAATCGTTATCTGCAACACAAGGCAGACTTTATGACCTTTGATATTAACATCAAATTTGGACATGTTTTTTAAGGTAATTTCTTTCGTCTGATTTAAAATAATGGTTTATTTTTGTGTGCGAATAAACATTGTATTTCTGACATACATCTTGGGGCTGGGATATCTCAGTTGGTGTAGTGACTAGACTACAGGGTTGACAATGGAATTGGGATATGATTTGTAAAAATTAAAAAAGAAATTCGCTTAGTGGGGGGTGGAGTCCAACTGGGTCCACTCGGCATGACGGCCACTGATTGACCCATTGTAGCCTGCCCCAGGTGATTATGATGATGGGGAATTTGGTGGAATGAAGATTGGCAGGGGAAACCGAAGTACCCAGAGAAAACCCGTCCCAGCACCACTTTGTCCACCACAAATCCTACTTGACCAGACCCAGGATTGAACCCAGGCCACTGCGGTGGGAAACCAGCGACTAACTGCTTGAGCTATGGCGCAGCCACATGATTTGTAACTGGGACATAGATTTCTCTCACTACAAAAGAGCAGTTTCAAGGGCCACTGATTCTTACCCTGAAGATGGAGGCTGTAGGTTTCTCTGACACATTGATATCTGTCTGCAAACTTAACGGTGTCATACACCAGAAGGCAATAATCTAGGAACTTAATCTATTTCATTAAGGTATGTAAGTCAATAACACAGAAATGGGTCAGCATGTAGCATGCATGAAAAAAAAAATTATATTATCATCATTGCCAGTAGGAGGCCTGTTGATAGGTGTTCCGGATTACAAAACAGAATGCTTTCAACTTGCTTGGGTCACCTTTATGAAGAATTAAAAAATAAAACATTTATGTAAAGACATTACATGTAGAGATCTCAGAAGTGTATATGGATAATATTAGAATGTATAGAATTACCCTGGCTTGTGTCATTTATGAGCCCGAGCCGCTGCAGATGTTGAGGTGCCACCACACCATACATAACTGAGTCACCCACGGCCTCCTGGAATGCTGAATTGGCACCTTCCTGTAAGGTATCTGAATTTTTGTTGTTCATAAACTTTCACATGGCCATGGCCTGTTTAAATTTATAAACGGTACTAGAGTTGACTTAACTACACTGGTTATACATAACCATCAACACATCAGACAGTTAAAATGCAAACTTGTAACTTAAACTTACTGTTGTTTTATTTATGGTTTATTTAGCGATGTCTGTGAATAACTGAGACTATGCATAGTACTAAATGGTAAGCAAGGTCCTTGTGCTTAACTATTTAAGCACTATGCTATGAAGGCGTATGGGGGAGTGGATGTATAGATCCACATTTTCTTGACCTCGGCACTGGGTGAGTGGTCAGCTTCATATCCTGCAGCTCTAACCCAAGGAAAAGAGCTCCTGGTACCCACTGGATAGGAGGCTGGGTGTGCCCAAGAGCTGGTCTAGACGAGATGAAGAAGAGAAAATTCTTATCCTACCAGGATTTGAACTCTGACCCTTCAATCATCCTGCCTGTAGGCAGTCGCTATACTAAATATGCTGTGGTAGAATGAATAATGAATTGTAAAGATGTGGAAGGGCAGCCGGCGCGTAAGGCTGACAACCTTACCGCCATCTTTGAGACGATTATCTAGATAATGTGGGAACCTCAACGTCTCACAATCCTATGGGCCTTCACAGCCTCTTATGGGGATAGCTTTACTTACTTGCTTTTACTTTACCCTAGCATTTGTTTGAATGGACTGACAAAACAACATAAAGCTTGACAGAATAGCAAATCTCCAACTTGAGATTTGAACCCATGACTTCTGAATGTGAAGCAAGGCAACTCTTGACCATGTCTACATGGTATTGATTACTGCAGTTTGTGGAAAATATACCTGGAACACAGTGGGCTGGTTCCTGTAGGCCATGTAGTATTCCACGTGCCCCATCTCGTGGTGAATCACATAGAAGTCTTCTGCATTCACTTCTGCACACAGCAGCATCCTGCAACCATCAAATTGAGGCAGGATCTGAGGTCTCCATAGTGGTGCTTAAGAAGACATGAAATTTCAACAGGGAATTATTAAAAACAAACTTTGCCAAAAATACTTAAGTTTGATAGCTTGAAAAGTTCTGGAAACAACTAAAAAGTAAAGTTGTCCCTGTGCTTAACTAATTAAACACCACGCCTTGAAGGTGTATGGGGAGTGGATGTATAAATCCTCATTTTCTTGACCTTGGCACTAGCTGAAGGTGAGTGGTCAGTTTTACGCCCTGGCCTCTTTACCTTTAGGGAAAGAGACCCCATTCCCATTGGATAGGAGGTTGGGTGGACCCCAGAGCATATCTGGATGACATAGAGAAGAGAAAATTCTTAACCCTGCCAGGAATCAACATCTGATCCCTGGGCTGTCCAGCCCATAGCCAGGTGCTGTACCAATTGCAGCTGACAACATTTGTAATATACAAAATTTGACAGTAGATGAGTAGCACTGTTGTCTAAAGGCAGCTTTTTGACAGATGGCTACCGTAATGCTCTTTGAAGCATACCTTCCACTAATATCTTCTGATTCTATTTATGACTAATTATTAACATGCATAAAGACACGAGAAAGGGTAACAAAATATTCAAATTCCCTGCCATACCTGTAGTCCCCTGACTGGTACATGTTGGCAGCAGTGCCATGGCAAGTACCATTGTTGTCAGCTGGTCTCTCTATCTGGGAGTGCGTCCAAAAGCTGTGTGTCATGCGCTCCAGACCCAGTGACGTATAGAAGTCCTCGGCGTGACGTACCATGTCGACAGTGGTATAGTTCCGTGCGTGCAGGGCAGAGGTCAGATTCATCATCTTTTGATCGGGCAGCAACAAGTCTAGCAATGCCTCCCAGTTCTGTGCCCACATGTTACCTAGTGACACGCCAATTGTGGTGTAACTGTCCGGTATTCCCCAGTGTTTGTACAGTATAGTGAAGATGGGGAAATCTATGCACGGGAAGGTAATTCCAATCCAGAACCATTTGATAAACATAAGCATGAAGGACTCTCTGTGAAACATAAATGGAAGTACTTCTGGCTTGAAGTTATTAGTAACAGGATTTTGGCTGGAACAGATAAAATAGTGCAAGATTCATAAAGTTTCAGGAACAATAATATTACTGAACTTATTCAAAGTAGCAAATATTAATTAATATGATGCATTTGTGGTTCTCACAGCAGTGACATAGAAGTTCACTGATGTTTTGGAGGAATGTACTGCCTCCATGTGCAAACGACAAGAACAGTGAATAAACTGCAGTACATTCCTCTGAAATACTGGTGAACTTCTACCAGATCACACTTCGTCATATCTCGGAACATAATACACTTAAAGAAATATACAGTCATTGTGGAGCTAGGAGACTGCAGTTGGTGTAGTGACTGGCTATGGGCTGTACGGCCATGGGTTCATAGTTCAAGTGTCGGTAGGGTCAGCACTTTTCTCCATGTTGAGACCTGTTCTGGGACCCACCCAGCCTCTTATCCAATGCGTACCGAGGGCTCTTTCCCCGGGGGTAAAGTGGTTGGGGAATGACGCTCACCACTCATTTCCGACTAGTGACAAGGCCAAGAATACGTGGATCTATACATCCACTCCCACATACATCTTCACGGCATATTGCATAATTAGTTAAGCACGTGGAGAACTTTGACCGCCTCTGTGGTCTAGCGGTCAGAGGTCCCGGCGCTATCAGATTTTCCGAGAAGTAGTGGGTCTGGAACGGGATCCACTCAGACTCGTGAGGATAACTGAGGAGCTATTTCAAGGAAATAGCGGCTCCGGTCTAGAAAACCGAAATTAATTGCCGTGGGGATCCGTTGCGCTGACCATGTAACACCCTCTATCCGCAAAAGTTGGCACAAATTTCGCCTACAAGCGGTGGTCGCTCGGTCGGTGTAGTTCGCTTGCGGACTACAGGTCACAGATTTCTCTTTCATGGGCAACTTTACACTTTTTTATTCGTCTGTTGTTGAAATTGCCGCCATGTTGCCATGTATAATTTATGACAAAAATTAACTTGCAGCTCGTCATTATCGGCCACCTCAAATTTTATGTGATCGCCATTTTATAACCTGAATTTCATCTGGAGATTTGCAAACATAATTGTGACGGCCCATCAGACGTTTACTGCAGCGGACATTCACACAACACGTACCGCACCGAGTGGGACGGACTAGCGGTGGCCGTCTAGACTTGTAATCGGAGGTGTCCTGACAGGATTTTCGTGGTCTTCCTCACGCCCTCCGGGCAGATGCCAGGATACTTCGTTTAGGCCACGAACCGTTTCTTTCAGTTCCTCACCCATCAGTCATTCTGTCAGCAATCCTACGTTATATAGGCAGCCTGGACACTGAAAACTCCGTGGCGTGTAGTCCGCAAGCGAACTATAACGACTGAGCATCCGCCGCTTGTCTGCGAAGTTAGTGCCAACTTTTAGCGGATAGAGGGTGTCACGTGGTCAGCGCAACGAATCCACACGGCAGTTAATTTCGGTTGAAAGCGTCATTAAATATCCAAAGAAGAATACGCACCCCTTGGAAGGGCCCCTACAGGACTGCTTATAGTTTTTTCTTTTCCTGGCCAAACGAATCAGTAAATCAGCAAAATATTTTCGAACCTCATGTAACATAGTATGGGAACTAAGTTAAAGGGCGCAACCTGCTGTTCTTTATGTCACTTGACAGGAAACAGGTTGGCGCCTGTGGGAATATGTTTGATTAACAAGGGAAGGATGATCCGGCTTTTGTTCCCGTTGTTAATTTGCGAACCCGTTGTATTGCAACATAGTGTGCCGCGTTACCTAGGAGATGCGCAGGGATGGGCCCAGTTAGAGGTACAGTTTCTTCCCCGTAAAACTGCGCCAGCCTGAAGCGAACAACGGCGTGCAATAGTGTGTACAGCGGTTCCACCTGGCGATACAGCTCCTCTACTACGTGCTCCAGATTCGGCGTCTCCAGCTCCTCGCGCCAGCATTCTCCGATGTCTCGATAATCATTGTTTCTGGCCGCCTGGTTCATAAGGCCTACAACGACAGGGTACAGGTGCCTGGACGGGGGCCCCACGGCACGGCGCCATTCCTGCCAACCCCACAGTAACTCGGCAGGGTCACGTGACTCGGCCATCAGGCGCTCGAGGTCGGGCTCTCCCCGGTAGCATACATCACGGCGGCACACGCGTGCGTTCGAGTAGGTATTCTGCAGCAACCCCAACACAGTGTTCAGCTCGCTGAAACAGACAACCCTCACCTGATACATTACTGCGACAACTTGTAACAGCCATCCCATTGCTCTACAGCTAGTCACAGTACACCACTCGCACCCCAGCTGGTTATGTTATCCCGCTCCTAGCTGTATAGTTAGGCCTGACAGCCCTCTATCGGCACTGCAATGAGCTGTGACAACCTTCTCCTGGCTCTGCAGTGAGTTCTGACAACCCTCTTCCCACTCTGCGGTGAGCTGTGACAATCCTCTGGAGCCACCGAAGTGAGTTGTGACAACCCTCTCCTGACCCTGCAGTGAGTTGTGACAACCCTCTCCCTGTTCTGAAGTGAGTTACGACAGCCCTCTCCAAGCTCTACAGTGAGTTGTGACAACCCTCTCCTGGTACTTCGTGAGCTGTGACAGCCCTCTATCGGCACTGCAATGAGCTGTGACAACCTTCTTCTGGCTCTGCAGTGAGTTCTGGCAACCCTCTTCCCGCTCTGCGGTGAGCTGTGACAACCCTCTGGAGGCACCGCAGTGAGTTGTGGCAACCCTCTCCTGGCCCTGCAGTGAGTTGTGACAACCCTCTCCTGACCCTGTAGTGAGTTGTGACAACCCTCTCCCCTGCATTGAGTTGTGACAACCCTCTCCCTGTTCTGAAGTGAGTTATGACAGCCCTCTGCAAGCCCTACAGCGAGTTGTGACAACCCTCTCCTGGTACGTCAGTGAGCTGCGACAATCCTCTCCCGGCTCTGCAGTAAGCTGTGACAACGCTCTCCCGACTGTACAGCGAGTTGTGACAACCCTCTCCTGGTACGTCAGTGAGCTGCGACAATCCTCTCCCGGCTCTGCAGTAAGCTGTGACAACGCTCTCCCGACTGTACAGCGAGTTGTGACAACCCTCTCCTGGTACGTCAGTGAGCTGCGACAACCCTCTCCCGGCTCTTCAGTAAGCTGTGACAACCCTCTCCCGGCCCTACAGCGAGCTGTGACAACCCTCTCCCGGCTCTGCAGTAAGCTGTGACAACGCTCTCCCGGCTGTACAGCGAGTTGTGACAACCCTCTCCCGGTCCTACAGCGAGCTGTGACAACGCTCTCCCGGCTGTACAGCGAGTTATGGCAAACTCACCTCGCTTGGTGTGGTGTGTACCTTGGCCCCCTACACAGGAGGTACATCTGACGCGGTGCCAGTTCCATCAGAGCGCGGCCGTGTTCACACCAGGCATTGCGCCAGGCAGTGCGCCTCTCTGCCGCCCGTGTAATCACGCGGGAGGGTACCGAACCAGGATCAACAGCGAGACTCCAGGTCAACGCTGCGGCTTGCGCGTTGATATGGCGGTACTCCGAGTCCAGTTGCGAGATCACTGCAACAGCGAGGTCACCTGCAGCCGTAAGTCATCATTCTGTAATGTTTCGCCCTTCTGTGTTGCAGAGCAAGTAAGGAAATGGATGAAAGTATGACCGTAGATACAGGGTGTTTAATAATATGATGCAGAAAACCGTTTATTAATCTGTGAGTAATGAACAAAAGCAGAGGGTAATTTTGTTACCCCTCTAATGTTGAAATGATATAGACGATTCACTTGCACTGAGCAGTGACTGAAGACAATGGACGCGCAACTGATGACCTTTTCAGAATGATTGCTAATGTAGGAAACGCAAAGAAAAGTCCACACTTATTTCTAATTCTCTATATAATGGTACAGCCACGGGGACCGCCATGAGTTATGTACATGGGCGGAGGATCAGGCAAAAATGCTGACAAATGTACATTTAATCCGTTTAAAGGGAACTCTTATTGATCGCCGTTAAATATTCAGGATAAAGGAATATTCTTTTATAAATACTTTTAATGTTTGCTAATAGTAATTGGCATATTGAGGGCCGCGCCATAGCTCAAGCGGTTAGTCGCTGGCTTCCCATCGCGGCGGCCCGGGTCTGGTCAAGTGGGATTTGTGGTGGACAAAGTGGCGCTGGGGCGTGTTTTCTCCCAGTACTTCGGTTTCCCCTGCCAATCTTCATTCCATCAATTGCTGCACAGTCACCCTCACCTATCATCTGGGGCTGGTACAATAGGCCAGAAGTGGCCGCAGTACAAGGGCCTTAGTCCCCCCCACTAGCAATAAAGAACAATTGGCATATTTCTTTCATTTTTTCAATTTTGATTTTTTCCGAAACCCTGGGGGATGGGGGCAGATTCGTGGGTAAATCCCCTTTCCTTTCCCGACGTTCATGGATACAGGTAACAAAACTGAACACCCTGTGTATGGCAACAAATAATGTTAATTAGTGAAATGGTCACTGAGAATTCAAAGGAGAGTATGAGAAATCGCCTCTCTGTTTACGGTTTCCAGAGGCGCTATGCCTCCACTCAACTCGTATGTCTTCATGACCTGGAGATTAATGAAGACGGACAATTTTATCAACGTCTGAATTCATGTTTCGTATGGTTCTCAGACTGAACAACTATTACGTATTTCCCTAAACTGCGTTAGTCGGTTGGTATTTATAATAGAAAGTTACAGGATATCACCAAATTGGACAGTCATTTCGCATACATACGAGTGTCCAGAATGAGTCTTCAAACCGTTTTTTGTGTTATTTTAACTAGCTAACTTCATGGAGCTTAGCCCTTCTTGAGAAGCCGCCAGTTGTGCAGCTATTCAAGGACTTCCCAGCTTTTTATGGAACCGAAGGTTCATTACCGTGCTCACGAGAGCCCAACACTGGTCCCTATCCTGAGCGATATCAATTCAATCCACACCACCCCATCCTATCTCTCTAAGATCCATTTTAATATTATCCACCTATTTGCGTCTTGGTCTTCTTAGTGGTTTCTTTTCTTCTGGCTTCCCCACCGATATCCTATATACATACCTCTTCGTACCCATCCGTGCTATATGCTTTGCTCATCTCATACTCTTTGACTTTATCACCCTAAGAACTTGGCAGAGAGCACAATTTATGAAGTGCCTCATTACGCGGTTTTCTCCAACCTCCCGTCGTTTTTCTCTTAGTTTTTCGTTCTCTTTTGCTTTATTTTATTTCGTTTTGTCTCATTTTTGTATGCACTCTGATTTTCGCTTTGTTTAAAGTAGTTCTAAATAGCATTACTCTATTTCAGCGGAAATTAATCAATAATTTATTATTGCAACGCCTCCCGCGAGATTCACTTTCAGACAATTGACAAGTGCGAGCCGAATGCTGAATAATGCAACGCAGAAGCTTTGTTCAGGTTTACATTATACACGTATATGTCACACTGAGCAGCACACAAAACTGGCATCCCTGTGTTAGCACTAAAGCGTGAGGCGAGCGTCCAAATCCCGCGTGTGGCCCAGTGGTCAGAGTTCCTGGCTACAGAGCCAGAGGTCCCGGGTCTGGAACGGGGTCCACTCAGCCTCGTGAAGATAATTGAGGAACTATTTCAAGGAAATAGCGGCTCCGGTCTAGAAAACCGAGATGAACGGCCGTGGGGATCCGTTGCGCTGACCACGCGACACACTCTATCCGCTTAAGTTGGCACTAACTTGGCCGACAAGCGGCGGTCGCTCGGTCGGTATAGTTCGCTTGCTGACTACAGGCCACGGAGTAAACGTCCAAATCGTCGATATGACGGTGTGCTACTATGAAGCCTCGAAGGGCCAATGGGTGTCTTGCGAACTCCGTGGAGTTTCACGAGAATCTATGGGTCCATTTGCATCTTAAGGCAGAAACATAAGTTTATGAAAGTTGTAAATCCATTCCGCGACATCCGTGAGATATCTTGCTTATAAACATTTGCTCCTATGGTCTGATTTATTTGGTATTTTTTGGAGATGAATAATTCGTGTGTAACGGTGAATAACCCGCTGTTAGACTTTCATTTTCGGGGGGGGGGGCAAAGATTTCCTACGCTTCACTGCCTAGGAATTCGTAGTCATTGTATAGCAATGGATGCGTTCTGATTCCAAATATTCCGGCCCTAGGCGGCACACCACAGTATTATCTGTCTGAAACATCTTTGAGGTCACATCATGACTTTAAAAGCAACCTTAAATAAGAGAGAAATCCCGTGTGTTGAACGAGATTTCTGATTTAGTGAGTTTGGTTCCTACTGTGTGTTGGAACTTGGAATCGGATAACCTTGTAATGATGACGTAAGAATTACGTCGTTATATGATGATGACGCAATCTCGAAGATGTATTAGACACAGTATAAGATATATTTGTATTAATTCGCATGCTGTACCGTCTATTGGGTGATTGAATTACATCCAGCTAAGGAAAAAATTCTTAATTAAAGAACAAAGAAACTATTCTTGATCTTAAGGAATCCGAACTCCTTCCTTTGAAACAACCAAGCGTCGGCATGGTCTATAATTCTGCATTGTCTATCTAATCATTTCGTTTCTTTGAAACATGGTCTCTATCGAGTGCGAAATCCATTTCGAGCTTTTGTAAGATCGAACGGCACACAGCCAACAGCAGGTTACGGAAGTCTTGCAGTTACTGTTTCAGCGCTTGTTCGTTAGATTCTAAAGGGTTCTGACGATGCTGGATGACACACAGACAATTACTGGGGTTTTGAACTTCTTCATCGTCCGGAATTTTAGGTAATAGAGGACACGACGTTTCGGAAACTGGATCTGTTTCCGTCTTCAAGTGTCTTTCTTTCTCATCTGAAGACGGAAATATATCCAGTTTCCGAAACGTCGTGTCCTCTATTACTTAAAATTCCGGACGATTGTTCCTTGTTTAATTTCTGGACTAATTTTATTCCAGATTTTACAGATTAACGAAAAATCCAGAGAGAACGTTCATTGCCAGACAAACAGGGGCCAGGATAGCTCACCCGGTATAGCGACTGGCTATGGAGTGGACGACCGAGAGTTCGGAGTTCGAGTCCTGGTAGAATCAAAAATTTTCACCTTCTCCAAGTCGTCCAGACCGGCTCTGGGCTCCACCCAGCCTCCTATCCAATGGGTACCGGGAGCTCTTTCCCGGGAGTAAAGCGGCCGGCGTATGAAGCTGACCACTCACCTCTAGTGCCGAGGTCAAGAAAAGGTGGATCTATACATTCACTCCCCCAAACGCCTTTACGACGTAGTGCTTAGTTAGTTAAGCATAGGGACAGCTGTATCTTATTGCCAGACAAACATGTTACTGGTAGGGGCTGCTTTTATGGGCCCAGCCAAAATCTTTTTTCTTTTTCCCAGGGTCAGCCATTTTTCCCGGGAGGGGGTAGCAAATTTGCGTACGAACTTGCGTTTAAGCCGTTTAGGACTATTTTTTCTGACTTCCAGAGTATTCTGAGTACAAGACTACTTTATATATTTTTGTTTTGTTTTGGGTACTACTATTTCATAAATTTCCATCTTTTTGTTTTTGAAAATTTGATTTTTTAAATAAATTACCCCCCCCCGAACGGTGCACATGATTGCAATGGAAAATTACAAAGACGAATATGAGATATTCGGCCCTCACAGCTATGGCTATGAAGATTACCGTCTTCTGGGATGTGACGCCGTGTAGCCTCGTAGATAGTTACAAACTTTTAGACCGAAAGAGCTGCGTCAATCTTCTAGGTAGAGTATGGTGACACGTTGCTGGATATACACCAATTGGAACTCGCAGATTAAGTGGGAACCAGATGTACTTAGTTTGAAGTGACCGGAGGTTGGAGAAAACTGCATAATGAGGAGCTTCATAACTTGTACTCTTCTCAAAGTATAATTAGAATGATCAAGTCAAGGAGGATGAGATGGGCAGGGCATGTAGTACAAATGGGGGAGACGAGGAATGCATATAGGATATTGGTGGGAAAGCCAGAAGGAAAGAACCAATGGGAAGACCAAGGTGTATATGGGTGGATAATATTAAAATTGATCTTAGAGATATAGAATGGGATGGATTGGAGTGATGTGGCTCAGGATAGGGACCAATGGAGGGCTCTTGTGAACATGATAATGAATCTTCGGGTTCCATAAAATGTTGGGAAATTCTTGAGTAGCTGCAGAATTGGCGACTCCTCCAGAAGGGCTCAGCTCCGTGAGTAAGTAAGCAATAATTTAGACATAATAACACCGTTCGCCTTCCGAATGCTTGTGTAGACCATTATCGCTACGCCAAGTTGACGTAAGAATATTTTAAATGTTTTCGACCTTTTTTTTTTTTGGAGTTGTTAGGAGGTCGTAATTTCTTGCTAAAGTTGTTGCCTATAGGCTGAATACTCGGAATTCTAACCTTGGTAAGAGTACTCTGTAGTCTCAGATCACACATCTATCTATCCAACAAACGCCGGAAGATAAAACCATTACAGAATGAACACACGTCTGTATATTCTCGAGGACTTGTATCAGTGGACCTTTACCTTCATGTCACTTATACTGCCTTATGGCATGACACTATAACACGTCACTACCCTTTCCCTACCTTTTTAACACCAATTAACTGATGTCTCACTGACTACACAGGCAGTAACAACTGTCATTATATATATGTTAGATGTGAGCTCCTCATAGCAGTGACTTTAGGATGTGACGCGTGAAATCCGGTACTTCACCGATATTTCGGAGGAATGTATTACCTCCATCTTCAGGGTATAAAAGTGAGTCAAGAATAAATCAGGCAGAGCTGTGCTTTGTATATGCCTCTCACTGGCTGGTTGTTTGTTTCACTTATTCTTCGGGCCTAAAGATAGACAACACGGCTTCCATTCCTGAAGGCAGTACCTTTCATTGTATCCACAGTTCACACACACACGCACACAGTATCCAAACAGACTCAACCTTCCCAACTGAGCACAGTCATTCTTAAAAAAAGTTAACAGTTTCTCAGCCATTCGGGAAATTCCCAGCATCATCGTGTCCACAATAGCCCGCCATGGGTCCCTATCCTGAGCCAGATGAATTCAGTCTGCACCCTCTTATCATATTTTTGTAATATCCGAAGTAATGTTATCCTCCAATCTTTGCCTATGTCTCAAAGCTGTTTCTTTCCTTCAGAACTTCCTACAGATCTTTGTATACATTTCTCCTGTCTGCACTGCGTGCTACATCCCTCGCTAATACCATCCTTTTTCATTTGATTATCATCGTATTATTTAACGATGAATATTCATTCCGCTTAGGCCCACTATGCACTATGCTACAAGCTGGAAGGTCGCGGGTTCGAATATCGGTGAGGTCACTGGATTTTAAAATTTATCTAATCCCTCAAGCCGCACTATGACCCTGGGGTCGACTCAGTCTCTAACAGAAATAAGTACCAGGAATTTTCCTGGGGGTAAAGGGCGGCCGGCGTGTAAGGCTGACAACCTCACTGCCATCTGTGAGCCAGTTGTCTAGAAAATGTGGGAGCCTCGACGTCTCACCTCCCTATGGGCCTTCAGGGCCTCTTACAGGGATAGTTTTAGCTTTTATCCTGTTCTCAAACCCCCTCAGTCTATGTTGCTACCTTAATGTCACAGACCAAGTTTCACACCCACACAGAGCCACAGGCCAAGCTTATATTTCTGTATCATCTTTTCTCTCTAAATACCAGGTGGGGAGACAGAAGGATCTCACGTAAATGAGAGCAAGCATTTCCGGATTCAGTCTGCCCCTGATTTCTTCGTGGAAGCAATTTTGTTTTATTAGCGTTGTTCCGAAGTACACAAGATTCTTTCGTGTTACGTATTCCCCCCCCCCCGCCCGTGTTCCCTCGACGACATATCAACATGTGTTCAGCTTTCGTTGACTTGTAGAGCAGCCCCTTGACTAGTGTCTAATTAAGCTCCTGGTTTCATTTTTATGTTATTTCATGTTCAATAAATTAACATCATCAGCCTTGACCAGAAGCTGGTGTGTGCCATTAAATTTAGATTCAGCTTGGTTTTCATGGTGTTTCATAATAAACAGCAAAAACAAAACAAACTCCATGGTTGGAGTCCGCAAGCGAGCTATACCGACCGAGCGATCGCCGCTTGTCGACAAAGTTAGTGTCAACTTTAGCGGATAGAGAGTGTCGCGTGGTCAGCGCAACGGATCCCCACAGCCGTTAATCTCGGTTTTCTAGACCGGAGCCTCTATTTCCTTGAAATATCTTCTCAATTATCCTCACGAGGCTGAGTGGAACCCGTTCTAGACCCACTACTCCTCAGAAAATCTGGTAGCGCCGGGAATCGAACCCGGGACCTCAATATCTCTAGCCAGGAGTTTTATAATAGCGTATTATAAATGAAAAGCTGAAAAACAAAGTACAAAATTACTTTTTCTCAGTACGTAGTTGTATGTCATTTGTGGGTTTCTTCAGAAAAGTCAAAATGGAACATAAGGAAATTAATCTTATTTCTAAAAATGGGAGATTAATGGAAGCTGTATGATAAATGNTAAGTTTGGCCTGTGGGTGTCACTTGAAACTGGTACGAGAGAATTACTCACGGTCGGGCGCGGCGGGCCTCAGGAACAACACCAGCAGCGCGAACCGTAGCTCCATCGTGTCTACGCGCCTTCGCCGCGGTCGCGCGTTATATAGGCAACCCGCCGTGCCTAGCACGTGACCAGGTGAGCTCGCGAACTACTGCAGTAGTTGTATTGTTATTTTTCTCATGGGGTGAGACTGAGCGCACTTGCTACTGCGGCCATTGTTTGGTCTATTTTACCAGCCCCTGATGATAGATAATGATGATTTTGGAACAGTCGGTGGAATGCGAATTGGCATGGGAAACCGAAGTACTCGGAGAAAACCTGCTCCAATGCCACTTTATCCACCATAAATCCCACATGACCTGACCCGGGCTTGAACCCAGGCAGCCGCGATGGGAAGCAGGCGACTAACAGCCTGAGCTACGGAACGGCCTATTCCTTCTCCTCCTCCTCCTCCTCCTCCTCCTCCTACTACTACTACTGCTTACAGGGATATATATATATATACTTGATTACTCTTCTCGTAACTATATATATAGTTACGAGAAGAGTAATCAAGTCAAGGAGGATGAAATGGGCAGAGCATGTAGCACGCATTGAGGGGAAGAAGAAAGCATATAGGATTTTGCTTAGGAAGTCAGAAGGAAAGAGACCACTTGAAATACCTAGGCGTGGGTGGGAGGATAATATTCAAATGAATTCTAGAGAGATAAGATTGAGTGGTAGGGACTGCATTTATCTGATTGTGGTTTGGAATCATTGCAGGGCTCTTGTGAACACGGTAATGAACTTTCGGGTTCCATAAAATGTCGGAAAATGATTGAGTAGCTGAGTGACTGGAGGCTTATCAAGAAGGGCTCCGCTGCATGGAGTTAGTTGGTTAATTGGTCAGTAATAATATCCCGTACTGCTATAACGGCAAACAACAGTTGTCGGGTAGCTACTCACAGCGGTGGTTATAGAGAGTTTTGATATAACGCCGTGTCGCATAATTTGTCAACCGAGGTTTCGGAGGAACATGTTGCTGCCTGCTTCATGCTGGTTTCTTGTTTTGTTTACTTTTAAAGCCTGAAGATGAAGGCGATATGTTCCTCCGAAACGTCAGGTGACTTTCAACTGACTGCTCAGCGTTATATATCAGAAGATAGAACATTCAACTAGTGAAGTTAATCCACTCTATGAACCAAGTTACGTCATGTCTTGTGTTGGCAACTTTACGGGACAACTGTCGTGTGAAAGTAAGTTCGAAGTGCCAACACCTGCTACTAATGCTGCTACTGCTATTGCTGCTAGTAATGCCATTATCAGTGACCGCCTCTGTGGTCTAGTGGTTAGAGTTCCTGGCTACAGATTCAGAGGTGCCGGATTCGATTCCCGGTGCTGCCAGATTTTCTGAGAAGTAGTGGGTCTGGAACGGGGTCCACTCAACCTCGCGAGGATAATGGAGGAGCTGATTCAAAGAAATAGTGGCTCCGGTCTAGAAAACCGAAATTAACAGCCGTAGGGATTCGTTATGCTGATCACGCGCGACAGCCTCTATCCGCTAAAGTTGGCACTAACTTCGCCGACAAGCGGCGGTCGCTCGGTCAGTATAGTTCGCTTGCAGACTACAGGCCACGGACTTTAGTTTTTAGTTATTTTAGTGCCATTAATAGTAAGGGTTCTAGTACGGCGACAACTAGAAACGTTTATCTCATCTCTGGATCAGGGTATGTCATGTCTTGTATGGGAAACCTGAGTCCTCCATAAAAACGCACCTGGAACACAACATTAGGATGCAACAAGACCCCCCCACACACACACACACACACACAAAGCGAGCACGAATATACACACGTGTAATATAAACGACAAGGGAAAACACGTACCCTAGGAGAGCCGGGTTCTGCCGTGCTCATTAAGAAAAACGAGCATTACACGGGACCCAGGACTGCACGTGTAAATAAAATAAATATAAAAATTGCAACAACAACGAGAGTAATAATTAATCAACACTGGTCTAATTTTAACTGGTCAAATTATCGTATCTATTTTAACTCAGTTATTAAAAGAAATTTAAGGCAAATTTTCAGAGTTTGTGGCAAAATTAGCAAAATTAAAAGCCGTCTTTATTGCGAATAACGCAATCGCAACACTAGGACAAAGGTTAATATAACTTACGGTATTTGCTTAAGCCCATAACTAAAATCCTACATTGTAAGCAACAATATTACCTTCCCCCATTGGAAACATTGGCCAGTGGAAGGGGATCAACAGAGAGAGTTCAGAGTGATTGTATAAGTGCTACCTGATGATGGCCAAAATAATTGACCGAAACATGTAATATAAAAAAATGTATATTTGTCACAGAATAATAATTACTTTCAATGTTTGTGACATCTATAATATTCGTAAATACTGTTAAAATGTTCTTTAAATCTATTATCGGATTAACGTACTACCTGAAACTTAGTATACCTTGAGGATGGAGGTAGTATGTTCCCCGAAACGTTGGTGAAGTTATTCTATTTTAATTTTAATTCGCTTAGTGGTGGTATGGAGTCCAACTAGGTCCGCTCGACACGGCGGCCACTGATTGGCCTATTGTAGCCTGCCCCGGGTGATTTTGATGATGGAGATTTTGGTGGAATGAAGATTGGCAGGGGAAACCGAAGTACTCGGAGAAAACCTGCCCCAGCGCCACTCTGTCCACCAGAAATCCAACTTGACCAGACCCGGGATCGAACCCGGGCCGCTGCAGTGGGAAGCCAGCGAATAGCCGCTTGAACTATGGCGCGGCCAAGTTATACCATACTACACGGCGTCATGCCTCAGGCGATATAACAATTCATAGTGACGGCTGTGAGATTTTGACGTTTAACACAACACTTCCATTACTTCGCACTGTGTAAACTATTTTGTGTGAGGGAACCTTGAGTTCACGTGGTGTTAGAGGAACGCAGAGCTTATCATAACACATCAGAAGATTCCCTTCAGTGAGGACACTTAAGACTACTCCTTGCTAAACGGAGTGAAAGAGTTTTCTTCACGTGGCTCGTGTGCGAAATGATGAAACCCCCTTACTGTTTTTCTATTTGAGTACTTGAATTGCGGATTTAGGAAGGATTCTCGGTTTTCAAAAGACCGAAGCGAAGATATAAACCGAAAGCAAATAAAAATACGATATCAACGCATCTTAACATGACGTCCGATTTCATTTGAACCCAAAAACACCACGTCGGCGTTTTCTCAATCGTAATATAAGAATTTGCACCACAAAATAAACCGTCAGTGTCTAGCTAAAAGAATTTACGAGATGTAGGAAAATCAGAGAACAGGGTGCCGAGGAGAATATTTGGACCAAGGAGAGGTGAAGTGACAGTAGGTTGGAGAAAACTGCATAATGAGGAGATTCATAACTTGTACTCTTCTCCAAGTATAATTAGAATGATCAAGCCAAGGGACCACTTCTGTGGTCTAGTGATCAGATTTCCTGGTTACAGATCCAGAGGTCCAGGTTCGATTCCCGGCGCTACCAGATTTTCTGGGAAGTAATGAGTCTGGAACGGGGTCCACTCAGCTTCGTGAGGTTAATTAAAGATCTCTTTCAAGAAAATAACGGCTCCAGAAAACCGAAATTAACGGCTGTGGGGATCCGTTGCGCTGACCACGCGACACCCTCTATCCGCAAAGGTTGGCACTAACTACGCCGACAAGCGGTGGTCGCTCGGTCGGTATAGTACGCTTGCGGAGTAAAGGTCACGGATTTTGTTTTTGTTTTTGATAAAGTCAAGGAGGATGAGATGGTAAGGCATTTAGCACGAATGGGAGAGGAGGAATGCATGTAGGATATTGGTGGGAGAGCCTGAAGGAAAGAGACCACTAGGAAGACCAAGACATAGATGAGTGGACAATATTAAAATGGATCTTACAGAGATAGGATGGGGTGACGTGGACTGGACTGTTGTTTTGTATTGAACATCGTTTTCAGAAAGGAAAATATCATTTTTGCCAATTATTTCGAGTATTATAGGAATCGAAAGCAGGACTGTTGCGTCTACATAAGAGAAATTCTTTCTCTCTCACTAACTAACTAACCAACTAACTGACTAACTTCGTCCAGAACCATTTTGAGGGTAGGCCTCCGTCATACTCGTACCTTGAGTAGCTCGCCGTGATCTGCGGACTAGCGATTTTGCTTCTCATAGTACACAGAAAGCAGAATCTTCATGACTCTTCATGACTGCGAGAAGTCATATCCGAAGAGAAGCTGTAACTAGTATGGTCACGTGTTATGCCCCGATTGGTCAGGATCCTCCGTTACTTAAACCATCTTCACTCTAAAATCTATCCTGTAACAGGCTGTCGAGGCCCATAGGGTTGTGAGACGTCGAGGCTCTCACATTTTCTAGACAATCGGCTCACAGATGGCGGTGAGGTCAGCCTTACGTGTAGGCCACCCTTTACTCCCAGGGGAATTCCTGGTACTCATTTCTGTTAGAGGCTGAGTCGACCGCAGGGCCATAGTGCGGCAGGAAGGATTAGGTCAATTGAAAAATCCAGTGACGTCATCGGGAATCGAACCCGAGACTTTCCGGTTTGTAGCATAGTGCCTCAAGCAACCACGCTACCGCATGCCCTATATTTCCTTCGCTTTATAATTAGCTAAGTCCCGGGCAGAAACAAACCCCCGAATTTACAAACCGAAAGTATGGCAGTATGTCGCCTCGTCATGTCTTTTCGTATACCACAGAGAAGGGTGCGAATGTGTATGGATCAAAGGGGAATGAAGATTAGTGGGGGAAAGCTGAAGAAACCTGAAGAAAACCCTGCTCCATTACGTAATTCAGATTAATATTAGCCGCCTCCTTGAGTTGCACACCCACCGCCCTCTGTATGCAACGCACAGAGCTAATAAAAAGAAACGAAGTCGCTCTTTTCTTGATTGTAGCGTGACGTGCTTGCTGATCTGAACTTCTCAACAGGTGGGCGCGAGTGCGAGCAGCAGTGGCACATGTAGACAAAATTATTTCGCCATTTTCAGACCGCATTTCGACTGCTCTGCTTCAAGAATATGGCGTCTTGCGCATC